ACCTTTATGTATGATATGATGATTTGTTTTCCTATAATACTAAACACAGCTGAGCTAAACGATTTGTGGAAGTGGTACCAAACATTAGGAAAACCTTCTGTGCTGCTGCGCTACTGTTGCTGCTGCTGCTGCTGCTGCTGCTGATGTTCTGGAAAATCAAACCACAGAATCCATTGCCCTAAACCCCAAACCCTGAACCTTAAACATTTCAACCTCTACATGCTCCCTGGTAAACTGGTTTGGCCCTCCGGAAGCTTAATCCTTAAGACTACTTCAGCCCGGAGCATCTGCCTCAGACCCCGGAGTCACAACCTTCAAAAGCCTCAAGGCTTTGGGCTTCGGAAAATCCTAACCTCCAAGCACCATGCCACTAAGCCTGTTTCCGAAATGTTCCGAAACCATTACTACCATTACGCGGTCGGTGTAACTTACGTTGACTGAGGATGCGGGGCGTGTCTGGCAGATGTGTGATTCATTAAAAGGGGCTCCCAACAGGTTTTTGAGCTTTGGGGGTGTGCCAATCGGAGACTAGTCTGATCTTGTCATGTTGTGCCTCCAAACCGGTGAATAGACTTGGCGGCCTCTCATGGGATGCTGTACCCTTCCTTCGGAAGAGCGCTGCTTCAAAGTAATATGCATTGGGGACAGAAGTGCTTAGTATCCCTGTTTGGTAAGAGCAGCTAGAAAAAGCTGCTGCAGCGAGCGGTCAACCCCTAAACCCAAGAAAAGCACAAGCAAGTACCGAATGATTACAAACCTGCGCAATCTAGACAGGTGATGAAGCCCTTAAACCCATACGTTCTCTTATAGCCTGGACTCCCCACCGCTGCCCCTGTTTTGGGACATCGGATCACGTTGTCCACAATAAAGGTACAAGATACAAACTCAAAACCTGAAGGCTAAATCCTGACTGAACCTTATACATATAAAGACCAAAGCGGCCACCTTTTAAAGGAAGCTGAACGCTTGTCTAGGCACTCAGGGCTTCGCGGGTGCCTCAAACGTGGACTGACCGGTCTCCACATTGTACCAGTACTGCAGATCAGGCGCGGTGCCTTGATTGACTAAGCTGGTCATCAAAAATTTTCTTCTGAGCCTACAACGAGAAATTTTCAAATCCAATCAAGCCCAGAAACGGCTCTGCACGAGTCTCCATCCACCCTTCGGTGGCACACCCTGGAGGTCTTGGATCGCCGCTATCACGGCTTCCTTTTTCTTGGCTTCGAGAACCTTGATGCTTTTTGATAGGATCTCAAAGGCAGACATGAATTCGGGAATCTGTTTTTGACATCTGTTGATTTTGCATACCCAATCTTTGACTTGTAGTCAATTTGAATTTTACTGCATAAATTCGATAAGCCTAAAGTAACAGAGCAAGGAGCAGCGGCACGCTGAGCGGCATCCTCCTCGCGCTTCCTTTTTCTAGAAGCTCGCTCTTCCTGCTCCCATAGTCGAAGTCTGTCCTTGAAAGTCGATTTGATGAATATGCTCCAAGACTAATTTCAAAGTAGGAACTGCTTTTGGGTCAAACAAAAAGGGTCTACATTTGAAGCGAATAATTTGGGGGTCTTAAGAAATAGATGGTTTTGAAAAAGATGAGTGGGTCTTGAAAACTTGGACAACCTACACCCAAACCTTCAGCCTAAATTGTACATTTTAAGAAGCTAAAGGCTGAGCCCTAGTAACCTAAACCCAAATGCGTTCGAATCTCCTGCGAGCTTTTCCAGAGCAAATCTTCATACCTAGCCTGATTACTGCTAAATTCTAGATAGGAAGCCGAAGCTTTTACAATGATTTTCTTTGCAGGCTGGCGTCCCTGCGTCGCAACTCTTGGGCATGCTCTCCCCAGCGCTGCCACTCTTGAAAGTCTTGGTTTCAAATCAAATCCCCCGAACCCCTCCCAAGCAGTCCACGACTGAGGTCTTGAAGCTGGATCTTCGGGATAAGTATAATGTTGAGACCCATCAAAACAATCAAGTCCACGCTTGTTCTACATACACTGAAGGTTACGAGAAAGCATAGACTCGAGATGTTGACTCACCTACGTAGCTTGGATTTCGAAAGATACGACATCGTCTCGGGCTGTTATTTCATGAGCCGGACATGGGTTTTGGGCAGCAATCTAAACCGCTTCCCGCCTCTTTCTCTTTCTTCTTTCTCTCCTCCCACTGCTTCCACGCACTCCAGTCCTGATGGGATTTCTTGAGTTGCAACTATAAGGGTGGGTAGACATTACTTGGTGTCTACTCTGGGATCTCTAATGATGGAAAATGTTACAATAACATTCCACTCCTTTATTGGGGTAAGACGTAGGAACCCTATTTTATAGTCAAAGTGGTCTATGAAATGGGGGTCTTATCTGTTTTGAAGATACACCGAAAAAAAACTATACAATGAGTCTTTTGAGATGGGTCCGAAAAAAAACACCCAGGCATATCATGAGGAAACCTAGGCCCATGCACCCCCGACTCCAACACATCAAATGTGAGCTTCTGCCAAAGGCTGTCATGAACATTGGAATATCCGTTTAAGGCATATCTCCCAGGCCCAGGGTCTACAGTAATACTACACGTCGGTGCCCAAGGCAAAGAATCCTGTGCGACTGCGTGATCTCCAGGCCCCGGCGTCGGAGCTACGCACCCAAGGGCTAGTTCATAAAACCTAATAGATCTATAAGAAGACTGCCCTGCGTGCCATCAAACTGGAAGTAAGGAAAAATGGCAAAAAGGTTAGGGTCTATAGAATGACTCTCCTCAGCACCCCAAAATCAAGACAGGGCACACTGCATCTTATGTTACACCCTCTATAAAATAGCTTGCCTAAGGACCCCCCATGAAATTCCTACTATAAAATAACACCTCTATAAAGTGGAAAACTAATTTTATAGGTGACCAGGGCTACCCATTTTACAGAAGAATGAGGTGGAAGGATACAATTACAATGTTTTGCCAGCAGAAGACACCAAGCCTGGCTGCCGTACCACACTCGAGCTCGTTCAGCGCGGCGAGCGACGCGGCCACCCTGAGGGGCGCTATGGTTTTTTTCCGAATACAATCTTTCCATAATTAGAAAGCATATTAACTAACCAACTTTAAAAAATCGTACGTTTGAAAACCATGCCTTCGGCATGGCGCTGCAGCAGAGGGAAAGGAAAGCAAACTTAAGACAAAAAGTCTGCAGACGATATGGAACTTATTTGGACCTAAGTGGAGTTCAATTGGAATAATTGAAAAGAAAATGGAAACTACTATAAAAGATAGGGTTGAGTAGGATACTTGGAACCCCCTAAAACTCGCAATAATTACCTGCACGTCCTGGGGGTATTTAGCCCTTGGGTATTGTCCCCACCCAGTAACAGCCTAAAATGGGGAGAGTACTAAGAGCTATCTATAGCTATATACTACACACGTTATCCAACTGTTGCTGGGTAGGGGCAGGACCCAACTTAGCCTCAATGGGGACTGTTAGAGATAATAGTGAGTGTAACAAGGTCTACTTACTTACTTATATTCCCATTATTTCCTATTCTACATGGACATTTGGCAATTCTAAATGTAGGCCTAAGTTCACATGCCGGCGAGATTTCGTGATGTACCTGTATTTATCTACAGAATACGTGTGTATGCTTTCTTTTTGGCTTTGACAACGCAGCAAACTCCGAAGTCTGCTAGGCACACTGTAACACACTGTATACAGCTTGCAGACACACGCGGTTCATGAGCAGAGCTCATAGTGCATTGGTTTTCACTTCCGCGAGAGGTACCTGATAACGCGGGTAGCCGGGTACACAAGCAGTCTCAGGCTACTGCAGGGTACGACACCCCTCTACGCCTAACGGCTGAAAACATTCACCATTCCCATAACTACACCAGATGGTGTAGAAAGGGAGCCATACCGAACACTTTTATCGAAGTCGGGAAAGAAAAGTTGAAACAACGGAAGTGAATAAGTTACGTAGCAACAGAGATAGAAGCTAGAAGAACAACGAAAGAAGAGAGAGTGAAAAAAAGAAATAACATCAGGATACTCTTGGTACGAACTCCAGTAACATTGGTGCCTAGCAATATTGGCTGTAAATCAAAATGGCAGCAGATACAACAAATCAAGTTAAGCTCAAGTGTTGCAAGTGTAACAATGATTGCTGTGCACCAAGCTTGCCCAAAGCATTACACAGTACAATCTTGTCTTTGCCCCACACCTCCTTGAGAGAGCAATGCTGACAGTCCGAAAGCCCGGACGGCACGACAGTCTAACCCTTGTAGGCTCGCCTCGGAGGGCCTAGCACCACAAGGTGTGCAGCAGAAGTGAAAGGCGGCGGAGGCGGAGGTGCATAGAAGGTTAAAGCGCGCAAGGAACAGGCTCCCCAGGAGTCCTCAACGCAGACCGGTGGTAGATCAGGGGATATCCTTGTAGTTTGGGGCAATCAAGGCCTGACTATACGCGCGTCCTTTCAGCATAGTATACATAAAACACATGAAACTACGCTAGCTCATGGTTTGGGAGCTACCGTACAAGCTTTAAGAAGTTATGTAGGCCGAAAGCTGGACTCCTTGCGAGGATTTACTAAACAGACTCAAAGAACTGCGAGACGACCGGACCTGCAGACCCAAAGAGTTATGTAGGGCGTGAGCTGCCCATATCCTGTCGGTACACTGAGCATGCATAATGAAAGGCGTAGACCAGGAGCTGTACCCGTCATGCCAATGTTGGAACTACCGTACAGGCTCAAAGAGTTGTATAGGCTTAAGCTGCGCGATATGTGTTGGTGTACAAAGAAGATTGAGCCATCTGCATAAGGCATCATCCAGGGCTTACACACATAAGCCTACCTGCCAAGCCCGTGCGCACTGTTTTTTCCGCTCTGCGCTCTTGTTCAGTTGGTGCATTACCGTTTCTGCTTGCGCACTCCCTGTGTGCGCAACTTGGAACTTCGCGCTAGGGTGAAAACAGTTCGTTTTCGATGAACCTTCTGCACAGCAGCTGGACGTTTCTTCGCCCACTGGCGGACCTCTAAGGTTTCCACTGCACGGCTGTCGCTGTGCGGAAGCAAGGCTTTCTGTACTTGCCGCTCTCGGCCCAGCTCAGCGCACCAGCTTTGCCAAGTGAGCTCTGTCCATGGCGAATTAGATACGGCTCGTGCCAGAAGCACTCGGCTTGAGCACTGGCTTATGGTTGGATTCACCATAGCAAGGACGTGTGGAATTTGCTTGCCCAGACACAACATCAGAAGCTTAAGGCGCAAGGTGCTCTGATGGATCTGCTGCGTCTCCCGGAACCAGTTTTTCACCTCCGAGCGCAGGGCCTCGTTCGAAGATGTCCCAGACGGTAGCAAAGCCAAGACTCTTCGACCTCGGGACACATAAAAATTCAAAGCATGAGATATGGGCAAAAAGGCATAGATGTCAAAAGCTCGTGCTTCAAAGGTTATCATTATTCTAAGCCGGGTAACCTAAAGTGTGACGCCAACGTATGTTGTTGAACAGCCAAGCCGATCGATCTGGATCAGCTGCGCACCAGAGAACGTGCGCCACACGTTGGTTTGCCCCTGTTACTTTCCTGTTCATGTCCTCAGGAAACATTGCCGACAAGGCGGCCAGGCTTTCGATGAATTCGAACCTGGAAAGAAACGGCCTCGAGGTATCCAAATTTTCCACTACTCTTCGGGCTTTAATCTTAGGCATAGAGCTGCTCTCGATTTGGTTTCGACACACATTCTCGGCGTGATTCAACGCGGCAACATTATAGCCCCTGTGAAAAACACCCCAGTGGTCTGCTGGAAGCTCTGCACTGACCGCGTTGAACTTGCTCATAACCCGACGCAGGAAGATAGCTCCTGCGGTTTTCTTGCGCCACATAGCATACCTGTCTTGAGTCCCACAGCACATGCGCCCAACACAGATGTTGATTCTTATCTTACCAACTAGTGACACGTCCATACACACGCACACTCCTTACATGGTAAGGGCTACTCAACAAGCAGAGCTGCTCGTAGACTATCGGTAGATGCACAGGGTCCAGCATCATGCACTGTAGGCCTGTCATCACACGTCGTAGCTGTGTCCAGAGCTTCACGGAAGCGGCGTCCGACGCGATGCATTGAACCTGCTGGAGTCCAGACGCAGGCAGCGCCTCGCCAACAGCCATGCTTACCACTTCTGCCTTTTCTGAAGGCACCGGCACCATGGCCAGAACAGCACCAGTGCGCCCTCGCACTGTTAGTACTCGTCTCAGGGCGTCAGCATCGCCAAAGGGCGATGCGTCCCTTTTGTGTTTGGGGGCACGGTACGACTCCTGCCCCATGATACCCATACAGCATTTGATGGTGGCATCCAAGGACAGATACCCGAACTCGTTGGAGTCACAGAAGGTCTTCATCATATCCGAGCTCAGGCGGCGCACTGCTGAGGACGTGAAGACGTCCTCAATGATCGGCCACCAGTGTCTAACATCCGTCGGCAGGAGCGAGGTCAACTGCGACCCCTGCATGTGGACCCACATTGCGAGCCGTGGCTTCGCCTTACTGAACACGCAACAGTATATGATGTCTTCTATGTAAGAGCGCTAACTTACTTCAAGAGCACAAAAAAAAAAGAACATATTGCCCAAGTAAAGTTCCAAGACGCAGCCTTGCACTTAGCGTGGCACATGAGCAGTTCGCGGTAGACCAGTTCAGCAAAAGCACGCGTGTAGTACAGATTACGAACCCGTCGCAGTTCAGCTGAATCTACAACAGCTTTCGTGTTCCAGTACTCAGGGCCAGAGTCTGTAAGTACCAGGCGAATGTGTCTGTCGATCTCATTTGTAGAGCTGGCCAGGGGTGGTTTTACTGTGGTCCGCAATATATCAGAACTGCGTCTCAAATAGGAACCTCTGATCGTGCCGCGCAATTGATCATTGTCGAACAAGGCGCAGCAAAGCTTCAACTGCTTGGTGCTACTGCACACGAATTGTTTCCTGTCCACATGATAGGACCGGATGTGATGCCTCACGCGACCTGGATCCTGGAAGCGGCGGAAAGGGCAGAGGGGGCAGCTGCGGCGTTGTTTCTCTGAAGAGCTTTCTTCCGCATCGACCTCATTTCGCAGTTCCCTCAACAGTCTATCGCCTGCTTTAACGACGGGCTCGAAGTCCTCCTCTCTTGTTATCACATCGCACTCGTCGTCCGAGCCTGGCTGCGGCCCCCGACACTCAAGCTGGTTTTGCAGGCACCGAGACCACTCCTCACCCAGATCACCAGCCCCTGCGTGAAGACCCAACAACACATCTGCGGGAGAGACAGTGACTTCGTCTTCCTGCGCCGCATTGAGACTTCCTATAACCTTGAGGGCGACGAATGAGCCAGCGTCCATGGCTTTATCGCCAAAGGCCAAAAGCTGGTCCAAGCGCATTGTGGTTTTGTAGATGCCATCCCACAAGGTTACCAGCCCATTGTCGCCCACCTGACACGCCAAACAGTGCGGATTGCCACCATGCTCGGTGTGCAACAGATACTTGCCCTTGTCCTCGATGCTCATCTCATGCTCCGGCGCCACAGCGATGGACAGGGGCGTCAGCACGGAGGAATAACATCGCGAAGCACGCTGGGTGGCCTCCTTGTTTTTGTGAGTGTTTTCCCGAAGCAGCTTATCGATGTCCTTAGCTTTCTCGGGCATCAGTCTGGCGATGGCCAGCGGAATGCAATTGCCTGGCAGGCGCAAGTCTCCGTTTGCCATCGGCTCCTCGACGCTCTCTGCCGGTGTCCGACAGAGCTGACGAAAAAGGTAGCGCTGCTTTTCGATGATGTTCACCTGGAAACCAGTCTTTTCCTTGATGGCACGCATGGCTTCCTGGCAAAGTTCGCTTACTTCCACCTGCGACGTAAACCCACCAACCCTCACTCCGTCAAAGTGAAGGGAGAGGTGAGCTGGCCTGTAGGGAGTAAGGCAGTCCGTCCATGTCTCCAGGATGTAGTCTTCCACGCAAGCATATAGATAATGTAATGTGGACGCTTGCGGATTCGATTTATCAGGCAAATCAACAACCGCACTGTACACATCGCGCATAAGCGAACAGGCCGCCCAGCGCAAATAAATGGATGCCTGCTGTAGCTGCTGCATGAAGACATTCCCTCTCAACTGCACAGGGATCTGACCACCAAAAAGAACTGTGTGAAGCACTTTCTTTCCTTTTTCAACGGAAAGTTTTAATTTCTCCCGACAGACTGTTGACCGATTCTTTGCGCAGCTCGCCATAGTTTCCATAACGGCAGATGGTATGGCATTGTTCACGTTGAGTTTGTCGAGCAACTGGCGCAGAACCACAAACACTGAGTTCTCAATGTCCAAGTCGTGTGTGTTGGGGCAAACCAGAGACTGCAACAGCCGGGGCATTCGCTGCGCGCCTATTTTCGAGCCTTTGGCGTAAGCTCTGGTGCGAACTATATCTTGAAACGTGCGTTCATATGTAATATCTTCGTTTGCAGGTGGGATTGCCGATTGGGAAGCTGGCCCGGCCTCAGAGGATGCGGCAGCACAGGATTTAGTTCTGCGTCTCCTCTTGGATGGAGTGACATCCAACGCTCGGCCATCCGGCAATAACTTGCTCAATGAATCTTCTTTTTTCTCGATCTTGCGAATCAAGTTCTCATAGTATGCGATCCTTTCCATTTTGTCTGCAGTATGGCTGCCTGCTTTGCCTTTCCTCCTTAATTTTTCGTCCTCTCCTGAAAATATTGTAACATGCACGCAACGTTTGCTTCTCTGTCAGCATTGTCCTGAATGTACTTCCTCGCGGCCTCAAGGTCGTGGACTTCTGAATAGGTCGCCGTCACATTTCGGGCGCGTACACTCACTATATCTGCAAGTCTTTTCTTCATGGCCAACCAAGGAAAGCTGCTATCCTTGTACTTCTTGCTGAGGCCACTCGCGGGCATGAGGAGCTCGTTGCGCAGAAGAGCTTCAAACATACTATCTCTGGTCATGTCTTTTGGATGGTCCGTCGGCAGAGTGAGGTACCGCATCATTCCTTTGGTAAACACTGACTTCTGTTTTTCCATACAGTGATCAACGATTGCTTTCTGAACATTTGCGAGCTTTTTTAACAGTGCGTCTCTTTCTTGTTGACTTGTACTCTCAACTGGCAGCTGGAGATTGACGTTTGCTTGAGGCTCTTCTGATCGGCATCTCGCTGGCAAGCCACATGCCTTCCTCATCATGTCTTCGGTCAGTGGCTTGGCGGCATAGTCCTCGATGAGCTTTCTGCATTCATCTCGAGAATGCTTGATTTCGAAAGCATGCTGTAGACCACGGGCAGCTGCTACGCATGGGCCGCTTCGAAGGAAGTCCTTGAGCTCATCATTCTTCATGAAATAGCCATCCATGTTTGCGTCTGGATAGGGTCCCGAAATGACGCGTGGGTCCAGAAAGCGCGCCTTTGGCTCCCAAACAAATGCCCTGCGATAAGCAGATTGAAAATTGCCTTCAGTGACGCCACTGAGCGTGAACATGCTGTTCACCTCGTACCGAAGCCAGCACACCAGCTCGATCATTCTAGTGCTCATTCCATAAGGGGGGCGGCCGGCTATGCCATCAGCAGAACAAGCCTTCTTGAAGAGGTCTTCCCGCATTCTTCTGCCAGTCTCAGGCTTCTCTTGCGCGGTAAGGATGAAGCAGCCGGCGCACTGCGAGACTTGCTTCCTCATCTCCTCCTCGTTATACCAGATGTTTGGATCTATGAAGCGGTGATTCGAGCCGTAAACAGCGTCCAGGTGGCTGCTGTATAGCGACTGGCCCACGCCTGCAAGCGGCGTGCGTTAAGGTGCGTTAAAGCATGCTTTAGCTGTGCGCTGCCAATGGAAATCTGCGCTTAGCTACATTCCAAGAAACCCGTCTGCGCCTCCTGGACTCACACCAATGAAACATCGAACGATGTTTTCCCCACGTTTTGCCAGCGCGATGGCTGCCTGGTTGCAGGAAAAGACCTCGGCTGTCTCCAAAGTCTGAATGCTCCAACACACCATTACATAACAGCACGCAGACAGTCCAAGCTAGCCCAGCACGAACGCACACACACACACAGACACACCCACCCACACACACACACGTCAACGCACTGATTGCCTGAGTCTAAGCCTCTAAGCACTGATGTTGGTAGACAAGTGGCGTCGTTGTTTAGCCAAAATGTTTCCGAGTAGAACTGTGTCAGCGCTCGCTGCGCGCTCTGCAGAACAGGGTCATCTAGTCCGTATCCCAGGAGTGGATGTGGGATGCGCACATAGATATTCTCATCTGGTACTCCTCTCGCTGATGTCACGTTCTGGCCCGGGATCTGGTCGTACAGAAAAGCACAGTCCGTATAGGAAATGCCAGCTGAGCGTGTCTGTGGGCTATCGCACCACTCAACAACAAGATTGAAGATCTTATCTCGCAAAAGTTCATTCTGCATACTGTAACCGGCCTTTGTTAGGGCGTCTGCCAGCCCCGCGCATCGACCATCTGAACTCGCAACAGGAATCGCTTCAAGAGAGTCCGCGTCGGCTGCCTGCGCGCTGCCCCGAGCACGACCCCTACTGGCGCCAGCCGAGCGCGGAATATGGCCAGAGGCCGCGTCCTCACATTCCAGTAGAAGTTGTCTGGCAGAATTGTTCCTGGTTTCCAGAAGAGCCCTAACAGCATCCAACACATCATCGTCCGTGGACAGCCTCGCCGTCCCCATTAATCTGAATAGGCCCTCTAGCTGCAGGAAAAAGCGCTTGCAGCGTGCAAGGGTTGCTTGCGGTGGAACACCTTTGTGAAGCGCGAAAGCTCCCAAATGGAAGAAGTACAGATTGCCGTCGTGACATCGCATGAACTGTTCTCCCTCTATAATCCACAGGAGCATTACCAATTCTCGCAAATGCAAGTCAGTCAAGCGAAGCCTGTAGACAGTAATGGCTGCTGTGATGAGCCTGACCAGGGCCTCACCCATATGAGGTAACCTTCGCAGGATCAGTTCCCGAATTCGCAGAACCTTAGAAGGAATAGTTGGTTCTTCCTCGCTGGCCAGCCGAGGAACTTCTGCCAGATATTCATAAGCTGTGCCAGACAGATCATCGAAAAAGGATCGGAACTCGCTCATGGTGGTGTCTGCGCCTGGAAGAAGACGTCTTTTCCTGGCCTGTTCCAGCCGAGCGTCGCGATCTTGTCTGTCCATATCCAGCGCATCCTCTAGATGAAGTTCCAGCTCCTGCGCAAATTCATCGCCCGCCTGATAAGTATCGTCCCTGGCCACCAAGCGTCGCTCTGCCTGGTCATTGACGTCTTCGGCTGGTGCTTCACCTACCATCGGAAACGTATCTGAAGCTTGGCTTGCGCCGCCTAGGAAGTCCTCCAGAACGCAGCCTTCGCAGCAAGGGCAGAGTTCCAAAGGTGCGGTAGTCGTGTGCTCTGCGCAAACCCAGCACTGACACCAGGGACAGGCAGCCCAGCGGTGCTCCAAAGGGTCGTTGTCGAAGTCGGCACACGCAACACCTAGTAGGGGTTCCAAAATGTCTGGGTGATAGTGAGTTGTTGAACAGACTTCATACGCCCTTATTATTCATGCCCGCGCCTAACATGAGTTGCCCAGTTGATAGGCGAGACCAGTGGCTGGAAATTTGCTTGCACAGCTTGCACCGCGGGCTGATCGTTTGGGGCGAGGTGAATATGGCGGCTAGTCCAGCTCAGTAGGAAAACATTCATGTGGCCAGATGGCGCAAAGTGTTCCTGTAGCTTCGCACCGTGCCACTGAGTGCGTTGGCGCCCGCTGATCCCTAGCCAAACCTCACAGATGCCATAAGGGTCCTTGATCCAGATGTAGGACCTAACACCGCTTCTCCCGGCGTCCAGCGCGCCGATGTAGATGGACCTGGTGGCCCTAGGCAGCTTCAGCCCAAATCTCACCGCACCCAGAAGCGGATGCGTTGAAACCCAGCCTTGTACATCGTTTCCAGGTAGTCGTAGTTGCCGCGCCAGCCAGTTAACCAGCACCCGGTTTGCCATTGCGTTGAGGAGTGGGATTTGGCAGAGGTCCAGGGTTCGGGCGGCGGCTTCCTCAAAAAGAGACACCGCGTTGCGGAGGGCCACAGGGTTGTCCGCCAGCTCTGCCACGCACAAAGAAATATGAGCGCCCCACCAGTACTTCTTGGTCAAGATGATGTTACGAAGTTCGCGATTGCACTTTGCAAGAGTGTGCAAATCGCCATACTCATCAAAAAACCGTGGAAGCAGCCACATGAGGTCACCATGGAGTGTCACGGCACACGCTCCGCCCAGCACGTCAAGTGAAATGTGTTCAGCTTGAACCTGCAAATGTGCTTGTGCTCTTTCATACCAATCAATCCTGGAATCCCAAAAACCAGCTTCGCTGTCGTCAGAATCATCTTCGTCGTGCATCGGGGGCACGAACTGGTCGGGCAGTGGCCGAAGCGGGACAGGGTGAGCAAGTGGGATCGCCACCATCAGGAAATCCTCGTGTGAAGTCAGCTCAGCTATTTGGTCTGCGGCGCAAATTTCCGCTTGCTTGCCGCCGCACACGTCATTGCCGCCCTGAAGAGACCTTGTACCTGAAAGGTTCCGGCTTTCATGATTGCCGCGCCAGACGCGGAGCATCTCTTTAGTCTCCTGCTCCAGTCGCGGAACCCTGTCGATGAAGGCGAAAGGATCATGTTCGGGATGGCAACATACCACGAACATGCAAGAAACTTTCACATCGTAATATTTTTCCAGTAGATGTCTGTAAACATTGAGCTGTAGTCTGTAGCGGACACCTGTACAGTCGGCCATATGGGCCAGCGGCGGACGCATACGCTGCGGTGAGCTGTATTTGCTCTGGAGCCCTGATGTGCGCTTCCAGTCGACCAGCATCAGACTTCCGTCCGCCAGACGAGCGCAGAAGTCGATAGAGCCAGCGAGCTGTTCTTCCTCGCCGTAGATTGTCCATTCGGTCCGCCATGCCGTTGTACCTCTCGCCAAGGAGCAAAGGAAGTTCCGCAGCATCCTGACTTCAGGTGAGCTTGTGGGCACGTGATGGCCATTGAGAAAAGCTTCAAATATGTAGTGCATGTATGTGCCGTAGTGAGCTGCTTCCTGCCCTGCAGCTGCCCACATAGCTTTAATCTCTTCCCTGGACAATGTCAATTGCAAGAGCTCATCCTCGATGTCGTGATTCCTGGCAAGTTCCCGCAAGAGATCACTGATGCGCGCGTCATTTCTTGGGCTGCCAGCGTACAGATCCAACAAAACTGGACACAGCGCAGAGAGACGACTCATGTTAGTGAACGAAACCTCGTGTTTCAGGTATCCAGCTCGAGGCCAGCGCGTGCCATTCATCATATTTGTGATGACGCTATCAGCCTCGAACGGTGTGCAGAAGGTATGGATCACTCCTGTGACAGAGCCCTTGGTTTGCACGCCACCAATGTAGTAGGTGTGGTCAGCGGCCTGAAAGCGAATCCTGTAATCCCTGGGATGTGCTCGCAGCAGCTTGAGCACGTCAACATCAGGCGCAGCGCCTGCGTCGAAACTACCCGGTGAGCACGGGAAGGTAAAAGTGGTAGGCCGATGCAGCATGGGTAAGAGGCCGTTGTTCGGTGAAGCCAGTCGCGCTGCCTTGCGTCTGCAGGCATCCAACCAAGATGCCTGAAGACGCTTTCTTTGCGCAAAGTCGATGGAGCCGGAGCCGCCAAGCGCATCAGTAGAAGCAGCTGCAGGAGGCGATGACGCAGATGTGTCTCGCGGCTCCTGAGCTGCTCTCTCTCTTTCCATGTGGGCAAGGAGAAGTTGTAGACGCACAACAGCCAAGGAGACATCCCAACGCCACTGCTGGCGATCGCTGCTGGCAATCTCCTCCGGATGCGAGATGTTGGATAAGAAAGCTTTGTTGTCCTGCGCCAGCTTCTTTGCCTCTGCGTGCATGTACTGGAAGAGCAGAGCGTATCGTTTTTCTTCGAACATGTCCAGAAAAACGCGCGACCTGCATAGAAGCTTTTCCCACCTGCGTTTAGACATAGCCGCACGTTCCCGTGGATCTGGGAGCAGATCAACCAGATGCGGCAGGTCTGCTAAGCTCTCAGGGTGAGACAGTAGGATGCCTCGCACCGTCTGATGCCACTTATCCTGCTCACCGTCAGTATGTCCGGCCTGGAGCTCCTGCCAAAAGTCCTTTGCTGATATATGTGTCTGTGGTATATCGCGCTGATCAGAAGCGCCTCCCCTGAAATCACAGGTGGGGTCCACAATGGAATCCACGGCTGCAATGCATCCCATCATGTCGTGGACGATGAAGAGTAGAAACAAAACAGCTGGCCGCCCGTTGTTGTCTGCAGCCGGGAAATATAGGTAACTCCATGTGCCTCTGCGAAGCAGCGACGTAACGTCGCGTATGCACTCTTCGTCATCCCTGTCATAGTTCATCATAAGCCATGCCTGGAGAAGATCATCTGTGGAAGGACTGCTCCAAGCAAGATAGTCTGCCAGCGACACGCTCTCTGCATCGTTCGGCAGTCCTACTTTCGCCATCAGAAAATCGACAGTGAACTTCGTATGCTGCGCTGTCATGAAGCAAACACCTGCAGTGGTAGTTCCGAAGAGGCCGGGGTACAGGGCCTCTACATCTTTAAGGCGCTCTATGACACTGCCGACGCCGAACCAGGCGTTCCGAGCAGCCAGAAGTGCGCTTGAAGTTACACCATTGAGGATTTTGCGACCGCTTGTCAGCGATTTTTGCTGCGCCGTCTTCTGCGCTGTTTCCGATGTCTTCACATCGCGGACTCTGCGCAGCCAGTCTTCCAGTGTGTTTCTGATTGAGTCACACCTGTGCTGTTTGGGAATGCTGGCAAACAAACGAACAGTCGAAGTCAGTCCCAGATAACCAGGCAAGGCAGCTGCAGCAGAAGTTGGCATGCCACCCAGCAATGCGCAGCAATGGCTGCCACCACCTCTTGCATCGCCCGCAAAGCTCTTCAGGTGGCACTTCTGACAATGTGAAGCATCTTGCTCGTCATTGGATCTGCCTCCAAGTTCATCCGCAGCTTCAAAAAAGTCCAAGCCGTCATCGTAGGCAGAAACTATACTAAAGAGACCTTGACACCGGGTAA